ACATATTTTTGTGACATGAGTAGCTAAAATCTTCTTAGTTAAAAATCTCATACAATTTTATTGTATTTTATTAGTCCTATGTTGTTGTACATTAGATCCCTTGACCTGTTCATCCTGCATATTTGCTATTTTGAATCCTTTGAGCCACGTGTCCCCATATTCTCTCCCCCCTCCCACTTATGGTAAATGCTGTTTCATTCTCTATCCTGTGTATTTGGGCTCTTTTAAAAACATATTTTACATATAAATGAGATCAGGCAATATTTTTTTTCTGTGTCTGGCTTATTTCCTTAGCATATCGTTCTCTAGGTCCATCCATATTGTGGCAAATGGAAGGATCTTTTTCTTTTTTTAAGGCTGAACAATATTCCATTGTATAAAAGATCTAAACCAGACTTGACAGTATAAAACTCCTAGAAAGAATATAAGGGAAAAGCTCCCTGACCTTGGCCTTGGCAATGATTTTAGATATCACATGAAAAGAATAATAAATAAATGAGACTACATCAAACTAAAAAGCTCTTCTGCAGCAAAGGAAACAACAAATTGAAAAGGCAACCTATGGGCTGGGAAAAAAAAATTGCAAACCACATGTCTGATAAGGGATTACCATTATCTACAATATGTAAAGAACTCTTACAACTCAATAGCTGAAAAACAAATAACCCAATTAACAAATGGGCAAAGGACCTAGATAGACATTTCTCCAAAGGAGACATAAAGATGGCCATCAGGTATATGAAAAGGTACTCAACATCACTAATCATAAGGGAAATGCAGATTAAAACCACTATAAGATATCACCTCACACCCACAAAGGCAGCTATTATAGAAAAGACAAGAGATAACAAATGTTGGTGAGGGTATAGAGGAAAGGGAACTCTAGCACGCTGTTGGTGGAAATGTAGCTTGGTACTACTATTACGAAAACAATATGGAGGTTCCTAAAGAAATTAAAAATAAAACTACCATATGACCCAGAAATGCCTCTTTTTGGTTTTTCCCAAAGGGGATGAAATCACCACCTAGTAAAGATAATATCTACACTCCCATGTTCATTACAGTACTATTCACAATAGTCAAGACATAGAAACAACCTAAATGCCCATCAGTGAACGAAGGGATAAAGAAGTGCATCTTTTGTGGTGAAATTTTAGTCATTACCTTTCCCATAGTCCAGAATGCCTCTGTCTACCTGACAGAATGTTTGAATGATTGATTCTTATTTGTAGCTCTTCAGGATACATGCACCTTTACTCAAGGGTGTGCTTAACTTTATAATAAAATGTGCACATCAATACTTAAGTTAACATATCCAACTTGTGATAGCTACTTCCAATGCCTTGCCATTTTTATGCAATGAATCCATAAGACTCATGAATTCAGATTGTGCTTTTCACCTTAAACTCTGAAATTTTTAACATTTAGTTTTAATTTGCTTTGTTCGGCTTTTCACATCAAAGCGTGTATTCTGAAGATATGAAAAGGCATTTGATTTTCATAAACTATTGACTTTTAGTGGATAAATACTTTCGTAAATGTTGCTGGAAATGTTGAATTCCATTCATTTCAAAGTGACAGGTTTATTACTTTGACATCATCGTATATTCACTTAGTCCTCAAAAGAATTTAAGTAAGATATATACTGTTTCCAACTTGGCAGTAGGCCAACATACCTTCCACTCATTATCAAAGTGTCATAGTGGGAAGTCCCTTTTCCACTGTCTTGAGATAATTTGTTTTGCAGATCATCTACTGGGGCTTCCCTACATATGTTGTGAATAATGTAATGTTATTTATTAAAGTCGTATAGTCATTATAAAAATTTGGTCAGAATTTAGATATTTTTTAAATTTTGCAAGAATTATTTTTATTTTTAAATATTTTATCACAGAGATTCTATTTTCCTCCTTTTGTTGAGGCATTACTTACATACGATAAAGTGAATACATCATAAGTGCACAGTGCCATGAATCTTTATATATGCATTTATTCACCTGTGTGACTACCACTCAGATGAAAACATAGAACATATCCAAAATCCTTGGAGGCTTCTGTACTGGTAACTACTACTCTGGCATAGATTAGTTGTACAATCTCTTGAACTTCACATAAATGGAATTATGCAGTATGTATTCTCTTGGAAATGGTATTTTTTCCTTTTAATATTATATCTGTGAGATTCATCTAATTGTTGTACATATCAATAGCTTATTTTTTATTCCTTTACAGTTTTTCATTGCACTTGTATATACTGTAATTTATTAATTTACTCTCATATTGATGAATACTTGGATTGTTACCAGTTTTACACTATTATGAGTAATGCTACCATGAATATGCTTGTCCAAACAAGCCATTTACACTCATTTTTTGCACTCATTTCTTTTGAGTCATTGAGTTTTCACATCAGAGAGCTCATGTATATTTACCTTTAGTAAATACTGCCAAACGCTTTTCTAAAGTTTGTTAACCAATATTTTTCTCCCATCCTAGGATACCCAATATTCCTTTGTCAGAGATATTGACAAATTATGAAGTGTACAGGGGGCAACTATTAATAAAACGCAGAGACCTGCTTTCCCCTCTATCCAAGAAGTCTTTAAAAATGCAAACCATCTAACAGATATTGTTTTGATCCATTTATGGAATAATATGGAACAATAATAATTTCATATGTGTTACTTCTGAGGATATGAAGAAATAGGAAAACCAAAGCAGGAATAATGGCAAGTGGAGAAATGTTGCAATTTCTCAGGGGATAGTTCTTGTCCCTTCTGTGTTAATTTCACTCCCACAGGCAATGTGGAAGAGTTTTTGTTGCTCCACTTGTCACTAACACTTGGTGCTATCAGTTCATTGATTTTAGCCATTTAGTCCTTTCCCATTGTGATTTTACTTTGCCTTTTCCTGATCACTAATGATGTTGAGCACCTTTTATATGTGAGTTGACCATTTGGATATTTTCTTTTGTGACATGCTTAAGTCTTCTTGAACATTTTCAGAATAAGATTTTCAATCTTTTTGTTATTGATTTGTGAGATTTCGTTGTATGTTCTAAAAATGACGCTTTATGGGATATATGGACGGCAGATACCTTCTCTTTTATTTATGGCTTGCCTTTTTATTTTTTAAATGTCTTTTGATTAGAGATTTTAATTGTAATGAAGTTCAATTTAGTAAGCTTTTCTTTTGTGATTAATGCTTTCTGTGTCACTTTTAGGAAATTTTTACTGCCCCAAGTTCATCAAGATTTTATGTTTTCTTGTAGATGCTTTCTTGTTTTACCTTTCATATTTAGGTCTATGATTATCTCCAGTAAATTTCTGTGCATGGTGTGAAGTAAGGCTTAGGGTTCAGTGTTTTTCTATATGGATATTCAATTGACCTAGTACCACTTATTGAAAAGGCTATCTTTTCCCCACTGAATTGCAATGGCCCTTCTGTGATCAATAAGGAGACAGTATGTGCATGGATATGTTTTTGTTTCTCTCTGTATGTACCAACACCACATTATAAATATTCCTAATGTCTGATAGTTTAAATTCTCCAGCTTGTTCTTCTTCTTGTTCTTCTTCAACTTGCTGCCACATTTAGGCAATGCTATTCCCCTTTGAATCTATGAGATTATAAATATTAGGCATGACTTGAAATTTATTTTCTGTAAAGTAACAAACCGATAAAGAAAGTAATAAACCGATAAAACTGAGAACTGACATCTTAACAATTTTGAGTCTTCCAATCTAAGTACTTGATTTATGTCTTCAGGTACTTAGACCTTTAATTTCTCTCAGCAATGTTCTGCAGTTTTTTTGTGCCCAGATCTCAGATAAGGTGCTTGGTTTTTATAAAAATGACTATGAATTCAGCTCAACAATTCATAATGTTTACAAAATAGCTAATGATTTTAATATTATTTAGAATCTGCAATCATATTAATATCTCTGAGATAGTAATTTCTAAAGTACCTAAGTAAGCTCTAAAATTATTCAGTGCTATGAGTTCACTTACTTTATAAATTATGTATTCAAAATGTTTATTGCAGTTTATTTGCTTCTTTTAAATCTGATTAAGTGGTAGCACTATTTAGAATCAGATTTATTTTCTAGTTAAATATATTAAGATGATGCCCTGTGATCACCCCTGAGGTCTGTGATATGTTTGTTGAATGAACGGCTGAGGAGATCAGCAGTAGAACTGGTGAATTGGCAATTTCCACTTTCCCAGAGGAGGGGATCAATTTGATTTTAAGCAGTTTATCTCCTTTCTATATTAAAAAAAATTAAGTAATTAAACCTAAACATCAATTTTAAACATGGAGAATTAAAGTTGTGCTTACATGATTCCAAAACATTCAAATCTATTTAGTTTAAAAATCTTAAATTAAAGGTCTTAACTGTCCAGTTGTACAGCTACCTTGACATAATTTGAAAATTGGCTTCAATTTTGTCTGAATTAACTATTGTGTTTGTAGAATCTAGCCTGAATTAGATTTAAACATATCTCTAGATGTTAAAAATTTAGTGGATGTATATATATATTACTGCATTAGTGTGTTGTGCTAGTTAGTATTAAACATGTAAATTCACTGACTAGAGACTAAATTTATCTTTTTTTCTTTGAATATCACTAAGTACTTTAGCACATAATACTCTCTCAGTGATTTTATCTCATTTTTTAAATTATAGGCCACTTTTGTATAGTAGAGGTCTTTGCTTTTTTATTTTATTTTAGTAACTTCCATCTATGTCTCCTTTTGTTCTAAAAGTTTAATGTCACACAACACCAAAACCTGAATCAAAGTTGTGATAAAATATAGTAGTAGTTCACTTGTGTTACTATTAGAGTATACTTCGGAACATAAAAGTTTACTGATATTGTTAAAACTAGCTAATTTCTTAATGTCTAGTATAAATCAATGGTTAGAACAATAATGATAATAATACTAGCTTAGCACTAAATGTTGTGCAAATAATCTATACTTTTTTTTTTTTTAATAGAAAAGACATGTCCTATATTGAGAACAGAGGAACATCAGTTGACACAAAACAACAGAAATAAACTTGAAGTTTCAGGTAAGCATTATAATCCTTTGCAAAGTAGCATTTTTATGTAAAAGTATCACCAGATAGGTAATGTCTTTGATGTTGCAGTTTAAGATTATAACATTAGCAAAAAAATTAAAATCAGATAATGCAGAAAAAAATTCTAAGAGCAGAGTTTTTTTATGTTTAATCTAACATCAATAATATCTTAACCGCTTAGAGAAAAGAAATTATTTGAAATTATAAAAGTTGTATCCATTGTAGAAATTTTGAAAGAAGAAAATTTATGATAAAGAAGATCTCACCACCCAGATATAGTAACGATTACTATTTTGGTATACTATTTCTATTTTTCTTTCTCCTTATTTTCTCCCTTCTTTCCTCCTTTCTCTCTCTCCATTTTTCTCTCTGTGACTTTCCCTCTTACCCCCAAGTGCATGTGTATGAAAGTGCACACACACACACATAATCATAATACTTACATTACATTTGAAATCCAAGCATTTTCCCACATCAGTATACATTCTTCTAAAGCCTGATTTTTTAAAAAAGGCTGCTTATATTTTAACTGATGACTGTGCTATTTTTCAATCTAACTAATGTTTTGTCTTTAGACATTAGAGCTACAATGAGTTACTCTATTTACTTAGGATAATTTCTAGGTTAAAAAAATTAATATTTGAGTCATTTGAAATACACTTATAAATACACATCCTATATGCAGAATGAATTTCATTCCCCTGTACCCTAAAAGGAGAAAAATAAAATCAAGAAATTTTGCTGATTCCAAACAGAATTTTATTGGAAGTAAATCAATCTATAGATGAGAACAACAAAAAAATCCTGTTTAAAAGTCAGTATCTCTGTGAGTTCGCTAAATTTATTAAACTGCTGAATTAAATCACTTGTCACATTTTACAGGTTTTGATCTAGGAGAGAGTTTTTCTCTGAGACGTGCTTTTTGTGAAGGTGATAAAACTTGTTTCAGATTGGGAAGTGCACTTCTTATTAGAGACACTATGTAAGTAAAATAATGGTTTTGGTTACATTTTAATAATAGTACACAAATTAACTATATTTTTACATTTACTGTGCTGCATAATAAACTTTTTTCTATTATAGTTCATTTTTTTTATTTCTAAGTATTACAGGGGTACAAATGTTTTTGGTTACATGGATCACTTTTCTAATGCTTGAGTCAAGGTTATAAATGTGCCTGTCAGCCAGATAGTGTTCATTGTACCCATCAGGTAGGCTTAGAGCTTGCCCTTCAAGTGGGGGGAGGGGTGCTCCACGAGTACTCTGCAGCTGGGACCCACACTGCACCCTCCTCTCAGTTCTGCTCACCCAGGCTCCCTCATCTCCAAAGATTCATTTGCAAATCTTCCCTCTAAGCTCCTGAGCAAGACAGTTGAGTTCTGAGGTATGGGATCTGGCCTGTGGGCCTGCACCATGGTCTCTGAAGATCAATCTCTGACCATGCCAAGGAGGAAGCTTGCTGGTCCCCAGTTGCCTATGAGGTGCTCACGCAGGTTTGGTGTCCCTCCACTTTAGGGCGTGTCCTGCTCTGATGGAGCTGCTGGGCACACAGCACCAGGAAAGGCTGGTGAGCAGGGAGCTCATGGTCCGAGCACCCGTCAGTCTGCTGCTGAACTTTAAGAGGAAAGGTTTGAGCCCCACTCTCTGTGGAAGCCTTGATGTGGTGGGTCAGTTGTCTCTCTCTCGGCAGCTACAGGTGGGGGAGAGAGAGAGGAAAAGAGTTTGGATGGAGGAAATCTAGCTCTCTGGTCATCTCTGTCTGCCTCTCTGAAGGGCAGCCTCCCCCAAATGTCCAGGCTATGGGGTCATGCAGATCCCCTGGGCCCCACTGAACCCCTGCAGCTCCCGCAGTCTGGGCTGGTGTTGGGAAATGTTTATGTAGGAATGAGCAAGATGTAAACCGAGGGGCTGAAGCCCCCTGAGGAGGACAAAGGCACACAATGGATGAAGAAGCAATATGGTGCCTGCTGTCTTGGTTTGGATCTCTGGTGATGGGAAGTGCCTCATGGGGGCTGGGTGCCTGGTGCTTTGCCCACAAGAAGCTCCTAGTTCACTGGTGGCAACTGCTTTTGCATTCATGGGGAGAGAAAGACTCTCCAGCAGCTCAGGAGCCCACTGTCTGTCAGAGATGTGAGGGTGGGAGAAACTGCCCCAACTATATCCTTTTTGCTGGACTTCAAGCTTCCTGGGGGTTGATCTCTGCCAATATCTTGCTCCTTCTTGTTCTGCTCCATAACTTCTTCCCATGGAGTCTCTTGTAGGTTCTGAGACCCTTCCCTCAGAATTACACCTAATCTATGTTTGTTTGTCTGCGTGTATTTTTCTCTTTCATCTAAAGCTTTTCCTTCTGGCAGCTGGTGTCTCTGGTCAGCCATCTTCCCAAGAAAAAAATATGCATCATCATAAGTTAAAATAAAAGAACATACCCCCTAGGTGTTCATCTTATATGTTGTATAGAGTACATAGTAAAAACAACACAAAATGATTGTTTTGCAGTTTTATTTTTGGTCTTGATATTCATTTAGTTTTAAAATGGATTTGCCAAAGTTTTCTTTTGTTATTTACCTTTATTTTTTTTCTACTGATGGACCTAAAATTTAAAAAATTAATCACTTGCCATCTAAATGGTAAAAGTAGATCAGCAACTATACAGAGCAATTGTAATATGCATGTGGCTGGCAATAATTTAAGGATGAATTGACAAAAATTCAGAAAGCTGAGTCATCAGGAAGGCAGGCAGCATGTATGGTCATAATATTTATTCCTTGAGTCCAAGATGAATAGTCTTATGTATGAATACACTGCGATGAAAAAAAAGGATCAAAATTCTACTTGGTTTTATCTGCAACACAGATATTTTTGTGTGAAAACATATATGGATGTTTTCACTTCCTAGTGGGCAGGCTAATATTTAAGTTATAGACAAGATTGTTGATAATCTCAACATTTGAATTCTTAAAGGGAAATAGCATTAATCATCTCATTGCCCTTCCTTCCCCTCAGATGCTCTATGGAAACTAGGTTCGTAACTCATGTTTTCCTTAAGCATAATTTCTTTTAAAACTCCTATTTTGTGATACTTCAGGTAATTTTAGCTTAATGATGTAGTTCCCTGGAAGCAAACTGTTCATTACTAGGTAAGAAACAGGAGTATTAAGGAAGAAAACATTTCATATTGAGGGATTATAATAGGTGATTGTTAGGTGAGACACTTCAGATGTAACTGTACAGACCTGTGTGCTATAGTGGGGTGGCTGCTTAGGTGGTCTCATAAGCAGATATTAAACCCTTAGGGCACAGAAATTCCATGTTTGGGTCTGCATATGCCATAAAGAATAGCCAAGATGCACAATAGTTCTCAGTTATATATATACATATATATTCCTTAAATAGTAGTAAATAACTTAAAGAATTTAAGAAAGGCAATACATTCTGTTCCAAAAATTAAGATGCATTTTCTCTGCCTGACTTCTTGGTGATTTAAAGTCCTGTCATCCTGGCCAGGTGGCAAAAGCATTGGGAGAAACTCTTTTAAAATTCACTGGACCTGTATGTAAGAAGGCTTAGCTAATTTTAAGTAGCTACAGTGGAAAACTTGCTGCCACATTTAGGCAATGCTATCCCCCTTTGAATCTATGAGATTATAAATATTAGGCATGACTTGAAATTTATTTTCTGACTTTTTGGAGACTCTAAATCACTCCCCAGACCCTGGGTAATCAATGTAAATGAATTCTATGGTTCTGCAGGGCAGAATCCTCGTGCCTCGTTTACAGGAAACTGGAGGGCGTCTGGTTAAGCTGACTAGCCAGTGTCAAGTAACTTGGCTCATGTCCACTTACATTTCACTCATTGAGCCAAGTATGCTAGGATGCTTCTCTTGCATGATACCATTTTGATTTTTCAATGAGGCTGGAGTAAAGTTGCAGCTATTTATATATTTGTAAATAAGCTGCCTTGCAGAGTCAGCATGGGACTAGGCAGATACTATTTTACATGGAAAATGGGGATGCTTTCTGTTCCTGAGCTTGCTTGAATTGTTCTGGCATATTTCAGGTGATATTCGTGAGGGAAGAGGGCTGATGAACATGCTGGTCAGATATGTATTGGGCACACTCAATACCTTGAGCCTGGCTTAATGTGGTTCTTCCAACTGCTTTCGCATGGGACTCCAGATAAACATCATTGTAGACTTATAGATGGCACAGGCTTGGGGACATCTCAGGAGCTAAATGTGCTTTGTTTGTTTTAAAATCATGTCCATTTATCCAATATTTATTGGGATAGCAAGCAGTAAGTATTTGAGGGCTTTAAAAGATTCTGTGTGGCACGCTCCCCAGTAATCTAGAATTATCTTTTTGAAGGAAATTTTCTTGGCTTCTTCCATCTACAAGTGTTTCTGGTTATGTGAAAGAGATCATTCATTATTTTTATACATATTGAGAGATATATCACAGAAGATCATAATTTTATTGTCTTAAAATTGTGTTTTGGCCATTATCAGGGCAAATTGGTAAAGTTTTAAGAAAAGAAATGCACACATACACATTGTGGAGTATCTTATTTTATTGGTGTAATATAGTTCCTCTCTGGCTTCTATTAGTTACTTTGGTAGTAACTTGTTTCAAATAAAAATATCTTAGTATTGAATATTTTATAATAGTTGATGAATGTTGAATTTCTATGATTTCTATGTACTGTTGATTCTGAAGGGGCACACACTTTTAGCTTGTCTGGTCAGTGGGAAATCGATTTCAAATATACCAGGAAAGTGAATTTCCTGATTTATTATTGAAAATTCAAGTATGGTAAAGAGCCTTACCTCTTAGGCTTTTTGTTTTTTTTTTTTTTGAGACAGAGTCTTACTGGTATAGGGATGAGGTTTCACTATGTTGCCAGGTTGGTCTCAAACTCCTGGCCTCAAGCAATCCTCCTGCCTTGGCCTCCCAAAGTGCTGGGATTACAGGCAAACACGATCCACTGAGCCTGATCATCTTAGGCTCTTGATAGCTAGTGGCTGTCTGGAATACTGTGTCAAGAAGGATTCTGAGACACTATTGGATTCAGTCAACTAAAGTGCTATGAATCATTAGGAAAAAGAGGAGTGGAAGGAGTGTTCTTGTGTGTTTTAAGTCTGTAGTCTCTCTGATTTAGGATGATTTCTGTAGGCTGGTGGCTTTTGCAATTGAAGCAGTGCCTAAGAATGGGGAGAAATGAGTCTATGTGTAAAAAAATAATCAACACAGATTAAATTTAATAAGGTTTTATGAGCTTGGGTAACGTAGCTAGACACAGTGACATAAATGACAGATACGGTCTCTGTGGCTTTTGTTACAATTAAATAAAACTCCAGTGAAGAGAAGTCTTTTTTCTCTATGTCTCTCTCTCTCTCATTAAACTGGTGTTTGCTTTATGAAAGCAGGAGTTATTTAGTTTTATAGCTTTATATGAAAAAAGATAGCTGGTAGGAGCTATTCTAATTTGTGTTTTATGTTTTATAAACATAATAATCCTCAACAAGTAGAAAACTCCAAAGTATGTATTTGGAAGATGTGCATTATTTTTTAAGAGTCTTTCAAGTTCTCTAGACTTTAACAGTTCCCTTGGAAATAATCCTAAATATGAGCAAAGATGTTTTACATACACGCACACACACATATAAGTGGTAGCATGATTTTTACTGTGTCTTTACTACTGTTGAATGATTTATCCCATGGGCATATCTTTTCTATGTGGACCTCTACATTATCTCCAGATTTTTATTATTATAAATAATACTACAACATGCAGGAAAGTTGTTTTTCTCTGTGTTTAGGATTATTTTCATATGATTGATTTTTAGAAAAAAATTACTAGTTGATTTTTAGGGATCTCGATGTACACAACTAATTATGTTCCATCATTGTCTAACCCATCTATTCTGCATATTTGCCAATATCTTCTGTAGCATTAGGCATTATCATTTAAAAATTTTGTGTTTTA